TTATACTTTGCATATCTTCCAATTCTTAAATGAAAGCACAGGCAATTTCATAAAATGAGGCTGGTTATAACTGCTGCCTGGTGGTCCCTCTAGTGGCCTTGAAGAGCTACACACTCCTCAAAGACGCTAGCATTCCCAAGGAACCAACCCTTTGCTAACTTTGGTCCTTCCAAAGCTGTGGCCTCAAGGGGAAAAAAAGACTGCACAGGAACTGAAATGGCTTCTTCACATGAGAGAGAGCAAAGAACAAGGTGACGTCACACAGCGAAATGTGACACATTGCCTCGTGCTGATAACAGAGTAACCACAGCAATGGAATCCTGTGCTCCTCTTTGCCCTGCTTTTCCACCTCATGGTCCCCTAATCCCCTGACCTTTCCCAGACAATGTGCATGTCTACGGGCAGTGCACACACACAGATGCACACACCATGCTGAACTGTGCCTCACATCTCCTGGGTCTGGAGCAAAAGTGCTAAGGAAGCCTCACGGGATTGCTCTATTTTTAAATTATATAAAAATTACAATCAAGCTTGCTAACTGTTAAATAAAATATCCTCTAATCCTATACAGGTATGCTGCCAGGACAACAAAATGAAAACAGATAAATCTATGTTTTTTATATAACTGAATAGAAACAAAATGCCAAAAACTATTGTATTTTAATATTCTCGCATACCTGAGTATTCTGGGATAGGTCAGAATTGTTTGGATCCCTAAGTCATATATCAAATTATTCTACATCATTTATTCCCTTCTTCCCATACTTCAGTAAAACCAAGAATCATGAAGGCAAAGCAGGTGTATAGCCTAGGGATGAAGATTCTCATGTCCCATATCAGATTACTTCAGTTCAGCATCCGGTTCCTGCTCCCAATTCTAGCTTCTGGCTACTGTGGACCCTGAGAGGCAGTGGTGATGGCTCAAGTAATTGGGTCCCTGCCACCACCTGGGTGGCCTGGATGGTGGTCTGGCTCCCTGCTTCAGCTAGACCCAACTAACTCAGGCTGTTTCACAAATCTCAGGAGTAAACCAATGACAGACTCCCTGTCTGCCTCCAATTATGTCTCTGTCTCTTTCTCTCTCTCTCTCCCTACAGTCTCTCTGCCTCTCAAGTATCTTTTTAAAAAGTGCTCATGCTGTTATGACAGTAATGCTCAATTACACTACTTTCCTTAACTCATAATTTTAGGTAGTTTTTTAGTCACGTTCAATTTAGTAAAATAGTAAAACTTCACTGTGGTGAGACATCAACAGCTAAAATTGTCAACAAAATTTTGGTTTCTTTTTTTAAAGATTATTTATTTATCTGAGAGGCAGTTATAGACAGAGAGAGTGAGAAACAGAGAGAGCTAGCTCTTCCATCCACTGGTTCACTCCCCAAATGTCCACAATAGCCAGAGCTGGCCTGATCCAAAGTCAGGAGCCAGGAGCTTCTTCTGAGTCTACCACATGGGTGCAGGGGCCCAAGCACTTGGGGCATCTTCCACTGCTTTCCCAAGCCATTAGCAGGGAGCTAGATTGGAAGTGGAGCAGCTGGGATCTGAAGCGGTCCCCCATATGGGATGCCAGCACTGTAGGCAGAGGCTTAGCCTACTATGCCACAGTGCTGGCTCCATCAACGAAATTCTTAAAGTCGTGCCTGGATCTTAAATCAACCATGAATTTTACAGATAATGTCCAATCATTTTAATGGGGCCAACTAAGTTATTTCACTTTTTCTAAGTTATTTTCATGATAGAAAACATTTTAATTTTATTAGAATCACTATCACTTCTACTGCAATATCTTTTGAAGCAATTCCTAGATGTTTACATCGTTTCTTAAGTTCACTTCTTTCAACTTGTTATGCAACTTAAAAAAAAAAACTGAAAATAGTAATATGTTGTTTGATTTGTTCTGAGCTCTCTTTCTACATTCAAGACCATAGCTTCAACCAAAATGGCCATAAAATGGTCCCCATGAGAAATCAGTGTCAGGACTATTCATAAAGCCTGGTACATGACTGTCGTCCTGGCACACACCTTCCTCTTTAAAAAAAAAAAAAAAAGATTTGGCCGGTGCTGCGGCTCTCCTCTGCCTTGCGGCGCCAGCACACCGGGTTCTAGTCCCGGTCAGGGTGCCGGATTCTGTCCCGGTTGCCCCTCTTCCAGGCCAGCTCTCTGCTGTGGCCAGGGAGTGCAGTGGAGGAAGGCCCAAGTGCTTGGGCCCTGCACCCCATGGGAGACCAGGAGAAGCACCTGGCTCCTGCCATCGGATCAGCGCAGTGCGCCGGCCGCAGCGCGCCAGCCGCGGCGGCCATTGGAGGGTGAACCAATGGCAAAGGAAGACCTTTCTCTCTCTCTCTCTCTCACTGTCCACTCTGCCTGTCAAAAAAAAAAAAAAAAAAGATTTTATTTATTTGAGAGGCAGCGTTACAGACTGAGGGAAAGACAGAGAGAAATGTCTCCCATCCAGTGGATGGACTATATATATATACATATATAGTCAAAGAAATCATTAGCCCTTGATATATTTTAAATCCAAAACTCTGTATCTTCCCATGCTTTGTGTTACAGAATCTGGGCATCCTAGTTGAGAACTTGTTCTGGTCAGGACCAGGCTCAAAGCTCCTTCTCCACAGACCTGTGTCCCTGCCTACAATTATCTTGTTCACTCTGAGAGGCCGGAAGACCCTCCCTTGGGGCAGTAATTCAAGTTGCCAGTTGGTACAGGTGATACTCTTAAGAAGTATTCATCTGAAAAATTATTAATCAATGTTTAAATTAGCAGTAGCTGACCAGCACTTCTTCAAGCATCGCCAAGGTTCAGCCATGATTTCACCACTATCTGGTATTTGCCAAAATCTTGCACAAGTCCACTAGGATTTAAACACATAGTGTAAGGAAAAATTTTAACTCTCATTCTCTAGGTTCTTTCTGTTGTGCCCTACACTAAATTTTATCCTCAGAAGGCAATAACCTTGGGCCAAATTGTCTTTCTCCTCTACAAAAATAAATATTTATTAATAAAAAGTTAATGCTGTCATCTTGTTTCTAGTAGAGTGACGTAAGCAAGGCAGTCCAGCAAAGTATATAAGAACACAGGCTTCAGCCTCAGACAGCCTCATTACTAACCTGAGCTTTGCCATACAGGGATTGGGTATCTTTGGGTTTGCTATTTAACCTCCGAAAGCCGCAAAACAGTACCTGACCTAGGTTATTGTGAAGATCAAACGAGGCAATTTTCTAACATTCTAGGCGTAGTCTTTACACATTACATATTAGTTGTAATTATAAGAAATTATCCATTTGAACATTTCCACACTCTTTCCAAAATCTTGGCTGAAAGGATCATTCATTATACTGCATGAAATAATTCCCTTTTAGCTTAGTGCTAACACAAAATTGTTTCATCAAGCACACTTGAGATTTTCCTTCATCAGATGGGAGAGAAGTATATGATCAATCATGTTTTCTTTCAAGAAGGAAACTCAAGTCATTTGTTATCCTATTCTGTTTCTGAAATCAGTTTTCTGCTTTTCTTTTTTTTTTTCCTTTGGTTGACTCTCCTTTTTATTTTTTAATTTTTAAAAATGTACTTGCGAGGCAGAGTGACAAAGAAACAGAGACCTCTCATCTGCTGGTTGACCCCCCAAATGCCTAATGATTAACTTCCCAAATGCCCACAACAACCAAGGCTGGAAGGGCTGAAGCCAGGAGCCAGCAACTCAATCTAGATCTCCAGGTGGGCAGAAAAAACTCAATTTCCTAAACCATCACTACCCAGGGTCTGCACTGACAGGAACTTGGGGTCAGCAGCCAGAGCTGGAAATCAAACCCAGGATCTTCAATGTGGGGTATAGTTGTCTTAACCCTATGCTAAACACTCACTCTGTTCTTTTTTATTTTTAATTGTTCATTTTTATATTGTGTTTAAATTTGTAGCTGTGGATCTGCCATTTAGTAGCTGAGTAATCCCAGAGAGATTATTTAATATCTAAGGCTCCACTTTCTTTACCAAGTAAGAACTGTTGTGAATGTCAACGTTACTCTAGTCCCAATACCCCCTTTTAATAACTACTCCTCTACACCATCTCTATTCCCTTGGAGCCGAAAAAGGGATGAAGTTCTCTGAGCACTTAAATTACTCTAGAGTTGATGCCCTAACTCAAGCTAGACCAGGAAGACAATTGCCAGGAATTTTGGATTTAGGAATGAGAGAGTTAATTGCCTTCTAATAGCTGAAACAATAAGACACAGATCTCAGGAGTCGTTAGTGGCCATGGTTGCCACTTCACAGAGGAAATGGTTCACAATGAAAGAAAAGAGTGATGCAGAGATGCAGGAAAGTGAAGGAGAGGCGGTACCAATGGTTGCAATGGTTCCTAGGCTGTCACTTCTTTCTAGTATGCCTGTTCCATTAGACATCTTAGTATCTTTCCGATAAATTTACCTTTGTGTATACATAACTTGAGTCTGAGATCCATCACTTGAAATCAAAATAATTCTATAACATAGAAAACAATGCCTAGCATATTAGCTGGCACATAATACTTGCTCAATAAATAGTATCTATTATTATTTAGAAGATGCAAATAAAAATGCTGAGTCAGTTAATTTATGCACATCATTTCAATAACTTACAAGCAGTCTTTCCTCTTATAGTTTCAAAATCACTCAAAGGATTCTTTGTTTTTTTTTTATCTTGAGAGAACAGAAATAAGATAAATGATCTGAATTAATCTTGCTATGTATTATTACATATATTGAAATGAGAGACTGCTGCATATTTAAGCACTCTTACAAAATAATGAATCCTCAGACCCAGTAATTCATAATTTCTTTCTCAACACTCTTGTTTAAACACATAAAGGGAAAATGTAAAAAGAATACAGATTTATGTCCCACTTACCCCACATATACAGGAACACACTAATAACTTGTGAATGTCAAAAACATGGCAGTCTTGACACAACAGGAAGCATGCAATATAACAAAGGGAAGCTGGAATCAAGAAATACCTGCAGAGACACCACACTGACAGTGTCAAAATGGATGTGTCCATTGGGCTCTGTGACCGCAGGATTCGCATAGCACATCACACCATTGATGGTAGGTAACGCTTTAGGCTGATGAGTTTTTTCCTGAGGACCAAAGTCCTCATTTGCAAAGTGGGTATGATCATTCTACGCAGTTAAACAAACAAAGATGAAGTTATAAGAGGAAAAACAGGTGTGCATATGGATAAGAAAACAGTTTATTGCTTTCATTAAGAGAAAAACTGGTGACAACTATTCCATATATAATGCAATCTTTAAGATTAATTAAATCTCTCTCTCTTTGGATGTTGCCATTTATTCAATTCTGTTGTTGCTAGGTTTTTTCATGATAGTGTAAATATACTTTCCTATTTTGGTGAATATGAGTGGAATACTAATTATGTACATCAGTTATTTGACATTAAATTATTGATACTTGCCCCAAATTCTATAATCTGAAGCAAGCATTTTTCTTGCTCTTGTCAACTCTTTCATTCTCCTCACATTCACAAGTTTAAGAACAGGACTGTTCACACAGTTCTAAGAGGGTAACATATGAAAGGCTTTTAAGTTCACTTACCTGACCATACGTTTTTAGTATCATCTTAAGCATTCTCTCCACAAAGAAAAGTATGTAAAATCCACCAAACACAGCAGCTGCCTTCTCAACATAGTTGTCACTTTTGGGATCAAATCCAAATGCCTGAGACAATTCAGGAAAAGCCAACTCATTTAACTTGATTTCAAAAAGATAGAACCATAATTTTCATTGTAGTTCCCCCCTTTCCATCCACATAATATTGGGAATTTACCTTCCAGTGTTACAAAACAAAGACTGAAATCTGAGTAACCAAGCTGCATGGGACAGCATAGAGTTCTTGTAACCAGAAGTCCCCTTAAATGATGCCACTAGGGGTCTTAGTGTCCTTGCTATTACACCAAAAGCAGTAACTGCCTTAAAAAGAGGAAATGTTTAGCAGTGGGGAAACAACAGGTGCTATAAAGGGCCATGGCCCATGCAGCCGAATTGCAACACCAACTGCAGTCTCTGGTTGCCCAGGGACAAAGCCATTAAGGAGCTTGCCATTCACAACATAGTGGAGGCTGCAGCCCTCAGGGACATCTGCGAAGGGAGTGCTTTCAATGCCTCCATGCTTCCCAAGCTGTATGTGAAGCTACGTTATTGTGTGAATTGTGTCATTCACACCAAGGTGGTCGGAAATCAATCTTGTGAAGCCGGCAAGGACTGGACATCACTACCCCGATTTAGACCTGCCGGTGCTGCCCCACAGCCTCCAGGAAAGCCCGTGTAAAGAGTGTAATCTTTAAAGGCTGAAGAAAAATTGTTCTCTGGAAAAATAAAGTGGAAATTTGTGCTTTATATAGCATATGGAGTATCCGTGTCAGATACAGTGGGGGTTGTGTGTGTTTTATGCCAAGTATTCAAATATGTATGCCATAGACTTTCCATGGCAGATAAAGCATACCCATGTAAGTTAAACCTTAAGTTTTGTATGCATGGTCTTGCTTATCCCCCGTCCTGGCCCCCTTGACATGGCTGTGTGGATTGGGGGTGGGAGATATTAGGCCTCTGTGAATATTGATATTCTCTGTGAAATAATTCATTTTTTAAAAGACTAAAGGGCGAGAGTTAGAGTTTGAAGTTATAAAGAGTCCAGATGTTCCTAATGGACATGAAGCATAAATTTAGAATAAATAAAACAGGAGAGAGCAATGTGTGAAAAGCCACATGACTCTGCACCATCCTACACATTGTAAATCTTCCCCTGGGGACAGAATAACGGAAGTCTGGTGGGTTCTCATCCTGTAACTGCCTCTGAGGAGACCACATGGCCACATCTTCATAGGAATGACTTCCCTTTAACGGTCTGCACAGCGTAAAAATGGCATAAAACATGCGATCTATAAACTCTACATCAAAGAGATAAACATACAGTGAAATGACAAAAAACAAATAACCCTCTATGAAAATTTGAGGCATTATTATAGACAGATTCTTTATACTGCTACATTCAAGAAAATAGAAAACCTTAAAATCAGATACATAGAATCTCCAGTCCACACACAATATTAGTTTACTTTGACCTCATCAAAACAGATGACATGATAAATACATATACATATAATATTGTATTCTATTAAATAGGTTGCATAGGATGTACTCCTAACTAGAAAATCTTTATTGTCCTCCTAGCTTTTCTAGTAGCTTGCTATCTAGCTATAAGCAAATCATTGAGTACATCTGGCTTTTAATTTTTTTTTCTTTTCTACAGTTAAGGGTTTGAAGTGGATATTCTCCTAGGTAATTTCTACATCAGATCATAATAATTATAAAACCTGTGCTTAATGAAATAAGCCAGTCTCAAAAATATAAATGTCACATGTTTTCTCTGATATGTGGTAGTTAATACAGAAAGCAAAAAAAATGCATAGGAATGAAATGGACATCATGTGATATGATTGTCATTTTTAGCCCTTGTTTACACTCCTGTGGAACTGTGGTCTTCCTAATTTTTACTTGTTGAATATTATGGTTAGTGGTGAATTAAGCCTGTGAATATAGAGTGAATTAAAATTATCTCTCTGCAAAACTGGTGAAAGGAAGAGAGGGGAAGGAGGAAAGTGCAGTTCTCTTCTTGGAATTGTACCTACAGGATGCATGAAATCTGTTCCCTTTGTAGCAAAAAATATGCTAAAAAATTTAAAAATGTGTGTCTCTAAGAAGTTATAATCCTCTTTTCACATAGAGATGTGAAAACTAAAAGAGGGGCAGACCCCTTCCTCGCTGTGTGTACCATGGGTGGGGACAGACAGCGCGTGCACACCCAGATTTTGCTAGTCTCTTTGTGGCTCCCTCCTCTTGATGATTCTCTCTTTCCCCCGCCTTTACCAAGTACCCTGTCTTCTCCTTCTTATTTGCTTCCCTTCTCCTACTTCTCCTCTTTATATAACCACAATACAGATTTAAAATATAACATACACATGATTTGTCGTAATCGAATAGCGCACTGTGGTCAATGTCAGGTCAATAACACATTTCATCAAAAGCAAAAAAAAAAAAAAAAAACTTGCAGTTTCTTCACCCTCAATTGATTTTTTTCCCACAGTCAAATGAAATGAAAAGGTTTGTCAACCACACTCTCATTTATCCTCTATTCCTCTGTGACTGTAGGAATATGGGAGGAAATTTTATGGTAAATCTTCAGCAAATGTAACATGGCATGCTCTTTAGAAAACTAAATAAATAAATAATAAAACAGATAATTCTGCCCAGTGCAAGGCAGAATAAAGTGCCAAGGCCATCGGAACCTGCCTGGTGGCCTCCTGGAATATTAATTTTGTCTCTGACACCAACATCCACAGCAGCTTGGGACAAGCTTTTATGATTGCCGTGACTCAGCTTTCTCTTATCCAAAACACTATAAACCAGACCATAACATGCTGTGAGAATTATGGAGACTAAAAATGTACAAAGTACTAAAACATTTACTATACAAAGTACTAAAACATTTCAAAGAAACAATTATTCACAAATAGCCAACATCCTTACCTCTGGAATAAGTTGGAAAATTGCATTTGAAAAAAGGGTCCCTATAGCCAGTCCCACAAAAAAGGTCAAAATCTTTGGAAAATAAGATTTCTTTATCAATGGAGTCAAAATCAATCCGAGGAGAGATGCCAGGTTAATAATCGTCACTGACAGCAGTCCATATCCCCAAACTGTGAGTCAGAGAGAAAAGGGAGAAGAAATTAATCTGAGCATAAGAATCAGGCGAAGTCAGTGTCCCCTGAGCTGGAAACAAATTTCTGCTTTAAAAGCTTGAAATCAATAATCTTTAAAACAACAGAATCTTCTTCATGTAAATCATCCAGAAAGCTGATCACACAGGAACTAGTAACAGGAACACTGCCTGTCTTTCCATCAGTCCTAGATCTTGACTATGGGATCAACGAGATCTACAGATTGCAGAGAATTTGGAGAACATCTAGGGCAGTGACTCACAGTCTGAAGTCCACAGGCTCCAAGCCTCCTGGATTCACCTACTGCTCAAGGCCTAGTTTAGAATGCAGCCTTTCACAGGAATACAGAGCGGGTGTGAGATTCAGGAGAAAGGTAGCAGGTGCTGGGTGGAGGGCAAGGGTGGACCTGAGTCAGGGTGGGTTGGTTTCAAGGTGATCATAGCTACAGACAGTGGGCTTGCCACAGTCACTTCTCTGCAGACTCCAGAGTGAACCTTCTCCAAGAAGGCAGCAGCACCTCAACCCTCAGCAGGGGCCTCCCAGGACCCAGAGTCAGCCTAGTGCAGTGAGCACTGGGAAGAGAGCACAGGGAGCCATGGGGGAGGGAGCTGCAGAATCACACAGCTAACCTGGCAGGCCCAGAGTAAGGCCAAAATGTGCTAATACAGAGGACGCGCTGAGAACAGACAGAGGTGTGCATCTTTCCGCTCAGTACTGAGGGCCCAATGCCCAACAGATACACAGTAAAGGTGGCTTAGCATGAAACGAATGAACGCTAACCTAAACTCTAAAGCCAACGGCATCTGTGACCTATGGCCTTTAAGCTGTGATTTCCCCTTCTTGATCCTAAAGAGGTTGCTTTGAGGACAAAAAGGAAATGCAAGTGAAACATACCCAGAAACACTTAGCAATGGCAGCACAGCCTCACTACAACATGATCCCTGGAACTGTGTAATGCGTGGCTTTGCCTATGGCCTTCCACAAGGTGCACAAAGTACAATGTGAAAGATAAGAATGCTGCCTCTGCATTGCTACTTCTTCATAACACCCAGAAACCAAGTTTAAACGGGCCACTTTCCCCATTAGCACTATGTATAGAGTACACCAGTAATTCAAGGAGCACCTGCCATATGCCAGGCACTGCACCTGATCAACATGGTTCACGCACAGAACCTCACAAGTTCCTAAAAGTGCTAACCTACCTCTTTCTGACAGTTGAGGGATCAAAGCAAGTGGAGTCCCAATAAGCCACCCCAGTCAGAAAGCTGGATTTCAAACCCTGATCATCTGGCTCCTGGGCCCAAACTTTTCAGCAATATGTGTCATTACCTCTATAGAGATCATCTGACTTAAAAATGAATAAACAGGAAATATTCACTGAGCCTGGGATATAGACCAAACCATAGTTCCCATCAACAAGGAGTTTGCAATATTCTGTTTGGGAGCTGAGAAATGCACACATGTGCACACAGATACACAGAGCAATATAACACAAAGTGGACTGTGAAACACACAGAAAGAAAAAGAACAGATAACCAATGTACTGTGTAACCACAAGAATCATCACAGCACTGACCAGGACGACCTTATCTTCTCCAGACACTTTCCTATCAGCCCCAGATCCTGGCCATGCCCTACACAGTCATCCAACAGCCCACCTTCCTCCCACTCCCTACCTTATCACATAAAACAATACCATCTACCCCTTTGGACGTTCCCTTTAAGAGAGAGTTCTCAAGCCTACACCTTCCCCCATGATATCTACATATGTTTTCCCTTAACACAAATAGCTTTCTATCCCATTACAGACCTACAGTCATTCACCCATTCAACAGATATTTTTATGCCCCTGAGCAGACTAGATATCTACATGTTGAAAACTAAACATGAGAGGCAAAGAAACTTCAGAGTACTAAACAGAGGCAAAGCCCCATACATATATTGAGCTCAACGGCTTCCCCTGGAAAAACTTGTTCCAATATCCTTGTTTACTGCCTCCTTAAATAGCAAAAACATCAAGATCAATCCCAATGTCTCACTTTCCGCCCATCAATTCCATAGATAATTGGTAACTGAACCCCATCAATTCTGCTTCAGTTATTTCTTACCTCCAACTCTTCCATCCTCACTTCCTGTGGGAGCTCAGGCACCCATCGCCTCCCAAGCCCTCATCAGATGTGATGTGACAGCTTCCTCTCTGGCCTCCCTCCCCTACTGGATATGGCCTCAGGCTTCTATGTTGAAACACCAAGATTAGCAAATGCACCTCTTCAAAGCTGCCCCTCATAAACTGTCTTTCACTCAACATCTCCAGTCCTATCTATCGCTGCTAAACTTGGTATTTATCTGGACAATATGTTTTCCAAACACACATGTGGTTCTCTGTCTGGAAACACCTTTCCATCTTCATTGCTTGAGAAAGTCAGACATGTTTCTCCATGCCAATACAAACACCTCTCTATGAGATGTTTCTCCTCGTCCAGGCAACAGTCCCTTGCTCATCAACATTCCCATGCTTCTTTTTTCAAAGGCAATTGGTACAACTGCCATTTCTTGTGTGTTGCAGTAATTATATTACTTATATCTTTGTCTGCATCTTTTGTGAGATTCACAAGGAGAGGGGCTATCCTTTAATCATATTCGGTGCCTAGAAAATTGCCCAGCAAACAGCACACAGTCCTTGCTGAATGAATTAATGAATGTTCTATTTTATGGGGTAGCCCAGAACTCTGTCAAAAATTACCAGTTCATCTGCTTATCCAGTCTTTCTAATCCTCCTTGTTCTTGTGCACATTTATCAGAACTACGAGTCACTGAGAGAATAAGACACACTGCATAGTTTCCCCTTCTTGCATTGTTAGGACATTATTCAGGGGGAAAGATCAGTGTTTCCACTCAACTGAGGCATGCAAGAGCGAGTCAGTATGAAAATATTCCTTGACTCTCTCTATACACACAAAGTACTTCCTCTAGTAAGCCCTTTCAGAGAGGGTCCCTTCTACTTCTTTGTGAACTCTGAAAGGTTTTAATGGATTTCCAGGGAATGTTAGTAATAATAGTATGTCAAGAAATTTTACTACTCCTATTTTAAGACTATTTCCTTTTTTTTTTTTTTTTTTTTTTTTTGAGAGTGGACAGTGAGAGAGAGAGAAAGGTCTTCCTTTTGCCGTTGGTTCACCCTCCAATGGCCGCCGCGGCTGGCGCGCTGCCTCCGGCACACCGCGCTGATCCGATGGCAGGAGCCAGGTACTTCTCCTGGTCTCCCATGGGGTGCAGGGCCCAAGCACCTGGGCCATCCTCCACTGCACTCCCTGGCCACAGCAGAGAGCTGGCCTGGAAGAGGGGCAACCGGGACAGAATCCAGCACCCCAACTGGGACTAGAACCTGATGTGCCAGCGCCGCTATTTCCTTTTTTTAAGTTATTTGATACTCACAACAATTCTATAAGGCAGGTGTAATTATAGTCCCTGTTTAGGACACAGTTCAATTCTTATTACCATTTTACAAATCTGCAAATATCTGAGACTTCAGTTCCTACCTGAGAGACCAACACTGTGGTTCATTGACACTGGTGTGGGGAAATTAGGCACAGGAGGCAATTCAAAGATGGCGTCCAAAGGAAGTAAGGTGGGCAGTATCCAAAGTTGTCTACCACCAAAGCTGACTGCCTGCACAGCATCAGGGGACGTGACGACAATTGCAGTCTTGTGCTTTAAAAGGCTTTGCTATGCACGCAATAAACCGAGTTCTTGCTTGCTTGACTTGACTCCCTGCTGCGTCTGACTGTCTCCAGGATCAGGAGGCTGGGGAACGGGCGAGAGGCGCACTTACCTTTCTTCGGACCCAGTCCATCCTCATTCGGGTGGACTAAGACCCTGCATCTGGCGCCCAACGTGGGGCATGACCAGTAACTTTTCGGCTGAAGCTAAGCGGTCTCTCAGGGTAAGTGAAACCTTCAGTATGAGTGATGCAGTTTCATCCCAAAAGGACCCGGCCTTAAAGGCCTTATGCTATATGTTAGAAAGTGTCTGGGAAGCCTTCATAACCTTGGCCCTTTGGATTCAGACGGCTAATCTCTTTTCTTGGAACACTTGGTCATGGGTGGAAAAACTCACCCTTGAGAGGGAGAGAAACTTTGATACCGCCCTTAAAGCATCCTTCCACCCAGACGCTATACCCCCAACTTCCAAGGGTGAGAGGGAGAAAGAGGCAGCGCAGGACTTGGGAGAGCCTAAAGACTCAGAGGAAGATGGCGGGGAGAGAGAATGGGCTAAGTTTGATCAGGAATGCAGAGACCCCATGGAGGCACGAACTGTTGAGGTAAAAACGAAAATGAAAATCGTCCCACCTAGCCCATCAGCCACAGAAGGGCCGGGACCCCCCCCCCATACCTCCCAGGGGCAGAGGTGGCCTCCCCCTATGTAGAGCCACGGAGGGTGCTATGTGATCTGGGCCCTTACGACTGCCCGGTAGGGGAGAGGAGAAATGAGGTGACCTTTGTGGAAACTTATCCAATGGACATAAAGCAGCGTAGGGAAGTGAACTCTGGGCCTAGGAACCTGCCACTTCAAGCCTACCCTGTTAATTTAGCTCCGGGCAGCAACAGACCTCTGGAGTGGTATCCCTGGGAAGTGAAGGACTTAAAGGAGCTTTGCAAGGCAGTGGTGGAAGACGGGTCACACTCCCCGTGGGCCCAAACCCTGCTGCAAGACATAGCTTATCACCCATGTGTCCCCAAGAACTGGTTGGACGTGGCCAAGGCAGTCCTCATGAGTTCCCAGTTCATAAAGTGGTGCGCCTTCTTTACGGAGGAGTGCCGGGTGAAGGCCGAAGCTATCTGAGCAGCCCAGCTGGCTATTCCTATTACATACGCTATGCAGGCTGGGATGGGGGAGGGATTCTCTACCGGGATCCAGCAAGCTGCGCTACCCACTCCTTACTGTGAACAAGTGAGGCAGGCAGGACTTAATGCTTGGTA